AAAAGAAAAGAAAAGAAAGAAAAAGCCTCAAATTTCGACTCAAACTTACTCTGGATTTATTTTCCTTTCTCTTTCCTGAATTGATGACCTAGCTAGCATATGATACTCTTTGTGCAATAATTTTAGACATTCTGGGCAAACTCCAAAATTCATGAGCTACTATCACCTCAAGAAACACAGAAATATACTTTACTTGAATAAAATTAATAGAAAAGAAATTGTTTTATTATTTCCATTGAGATACTATTAAACTGTGGCATTTTTTCCTGTATAATTCTACATAAAACATATAACTCATTCCCATTTTTGCCTATTATGTTCATACAAGGAAAAAGAAATCCAAAGATGTAAAGCAATCAAATTACATTGCTATTATTATGTCAACAATAGTATCTTACATTTATGTTCCATTTCATACCTTCTATGAGGTTTTCATGTTAAACTCAGATATTATGACCCTGTTTTTTACTAGCAGATGAAATTAAGACCCAGAGAGACAACCCATCTTCCAATGACCACAAGAGAACGCTAATACACATCTCCAGATTCCTCAATAAATAGTTCTCCATGCTAAAACTACAGGTATTCATTCACAAAGGCAGTGTTTGATAGGCCTATATAGGTAAAGCTTAACATTTCAAACATAAATAGGGTGTCTGTATTTTCCAAGGTGACGCAGTGAAATGGAAATAAAGTAGGGTAGACTTAAAGCGACAAGTAGAAAGTTATACTAACAATAATGAACCACTATCATGACACTATCCTAAAAACATGCTCATGACATCATTCTAAAGGCAAGTTATCCACAGCTGGAAAGCTCATACCTCTCCTTAGTGGCCAAAAGGGAATGCCGTGAGAATAACAGGATCAGCATTGTTTACCAGACCCACTCACACAATAGCAAGCTTAGGAGCGGACACAGTCACCCCAGAACATCCCACACCCACTCATCTCCCTGATCCACTTCCTGCAGCACTGCCCTCTAAACTTATCTTTGGCCAGTAGCGGTAGCTCACACCTGTAATCCCAGCACTTTGGAAGGCTGAGGTGGATGGATCACCTGAGGTCAGGAGTTCGAGACCAGCCTGGCCAACATGGTGAAAAACCCCATCTCTACTAACAATACAAAAAATTAGCTAGGCGTGGTGGCGCATGCCTGTAGTCCCAGCTACTCGAGAGGCTGAGATGACAGAATCGCTTGAACCCTGGAGGCAGAGGTTGCAGTAAGCCGAGATGGCAGTGCTGCATTCCATCCTGCGAGACAGAGCAAGACCTTGTCTCAAAAACAACCAACAACAACAACAGAATAAACTCGTCTTTGGCCCTCCCAAGTCCTTTCCAAAAACAGGATCACAGAAAAACTAAAATGCTGTCTAGGAGACATGCTGAGGATATTCCAGTTTAAGGGAAATGCAAGGCAAAAAAAAAAAAATAAAAGAAAAAAGTTTCCAAATTTCTGCAACAGTTCTGTATGTAAATCAGACTAACATCTGCTAAAAACTCATACTATATTACTGTAAGCAGAAGTTGGCAAACATTTTCTTTTTTTTTTTTTTTTTTTTTTTTTTTTTTGCCTCGAGATGGGAGTCTTGCTCTGGTCATCCAGGCTGGAGTGCAGTGGCACAATCTCAGCTCAATGCAAACTCCACCTCCCGGATTCAACTGATTCTCCTGCCTCAGACTCCCGAGTAACTAAGATTACAGGCACCTACCACCACACCTGGCTAATTTTTGAATTTTTAGTAGAGATGGGGTTTCACCATGTTGGCCAGGCTGGTGTTGAACTCCTGTCCTCATGATCTGCCCACCTTGGCCTCCCAAAGAGCTGGGTTTATAGGCATGAGCCACCACGCCTAGCCAGCAAACTTTTTCTGTAAGAGGCCAGATGGCTATATTCTAGGCTTTTCACTATTACTAGATATTCAATATTTAATTTTACTATATATTCAATATTATCAGAATAGTAATATTCTACGTCTGTCACAACCACTCAGTTCTGCAACTGTAGCACAAAAGCAGGCATAGATAATAAGCAACGTGATGGGTGCGTTTGTGTGCCAACAGAATTTATTTTATAAAACACAGCTGCAGCTTGTAGTTTGCCGACCTCTGACTTGAGGATAGTCTGCTTAACCCTCATTCCCAAATGCCAAATAGCCACCCCTTGTGAATTATGGCTGAGAGAATCTAACTTATTCAGCTCTCAGAATTATGCAGTAATCACCCACTGTCAATTGCGACACTGTGAATTCCAAAAACAACAGTAATTGCAGCAATAATAACCGTCTCGAAAATAAGCAAGAAGTAATACCTACTTAGTTTATGCCAGAGACTATGTTAACGTTTTCACAAACATCATCTCAGTGAATTCTCATAACAACCCTACATGGGAAGTGCTGTTAATCGTTCCCATGTCACAGTTTTCCAACATCATCAGGATATGAACAAAACTTCACTTTGAACTATGGTTTGTCTACATGACTTCAAAATTCACACCCTCACACACTGCACCCCCAAAGCACCCCTGGCATTATTTTAGGAGGACATAAGACAAATCAGAGAATTCGAGGCCTGAGATTAAAATCTAAACTATTAAACCAGTTTTTCAGGAACTGCCTGCTTCATTTTGTAAATTTAGAAACATTTCCCTCATAAAAAAATAAGGCTTTTTTTTTGGGCCCACTTTTCAAGCAACAATATTATCTAGAGGACTATGCCTGCAGCTGACAGTCCCACATCTCATTGGCTGTGGTTTTAAGATGCTGGTCTGATGCACCCACAGTTACAGGCTTCAACTCTTACTCCTTCCTGGCTTGTCTTACACATTGGCCAAATGCTAAGGAATGCCTGTGATGAACTCCCAAGACGTCTTGACATGAGAACCAATACTGCACGCACCCTTAAGTACGAGGCAACCACAGATACTATCAAATTGTCAGGAAGAACTGTTGCAAGCATAGGAACTGTACACCACCAGTTGATATCTGTCACATCCTATTCTTCTTTCACTTACTTTTTCCATTATGCCTAACAAATGACTCCATTCATTCTTCCAAACCAGTCCACACCCTTCCAAGCAATTCCTCAAATGACTCTCCTACCTGATTTCTAGGGGAAAAAAATTAGCTAGAACAAAGGTTCACCAATTAGACAACCTGTAGACCCTATCCAACCAGCCACCTGGTTTTGCACAGCCTGTAAAGCAAGAATAGTTTATACATCTTTTAATGAACAACAAAAAAAAATCAAAAGAATATTTCCTGACACATGAAAATTATAAAATTCAAATTCCAGTATTCATAAATAAATTTTTATCAGAGCACAGCCAGTCTGTGCAGAACTGTGGGTATGTGTACACTGCAATGGCAGAGATGGGTAGTTGCAACAAAGACAATATGGCTTTTGATGTTTATTATTTGGCTCTTTTCAGAAAAAAAGTGTGCCAACTCTTGAACTATCCGCCCTTCTGCTACTGGAGGCAAATTCAGATACAATACATTCCAGAAATACAAAATGGAGGCTTCTTAAGTCCACCAGAGTTAAAGACATCCACAATCACTCCATCACAGAGAGGGCCCCACTTATGGTCATTCTTAACTATGTCATGGGAAAAGTTTAAGGACTTTCATCTCTTTGCTGCCATTTGCAATTGGACATGTCAATGGGATGTAACTTCCAATTTCCTGACTAACAGCATTATTATTCTAAATTGATGAACTGTAAATAGCAGGCCACCTTATGCCTCCTCCTGACTGATGTCAGAGCCACAAAGCACAAAATGATAAATTTTCTTTGAGTTTCTTGGCAAGATGCTATATATATGTCATTTTGGCTTTCATCTCCCAATTTCCTTCATTTATCAGAAATGGTGTCAAAAAGCCTCTAATTAGATCATTCTAATCACAAGGTACTGGGTGTGATGGAAGACTTCAGAATCACTATCTGTTCACTGCAAAACAAAACAGATAGGCTATTCTCCCTGCAGGGCAGGAGATTTATCAATAGACAAAAGGATGCAAAAAGCCGATAGATAAGGTGTAATTAAAGATCAGACCTATAAATTTTATACTGACATAAATTTAACAGAATTCGCTGGGAGAAAATCAGGATTTAAACCCAAGCATCATTATGAAAAGAATACTTTCGGTTCTATATGCAACAACATTGCATAATACATAGATTTATTATTAAGACTAATACTCTGTGCCTCCAAGCTCTTTCATACAAGGAATTTGAATTATTCAGTGCCAAAGTAATTTCCAAAGTGGTCTATCTTACCCAAGCATTCCTCCTTAATTAGTTTTAATACATTTTCCATATATTTTTGAGCATCAAAATGCTCTTTTAGAAATAACAGAACCCTAATCCAGAAAGGTCTGTACCTAGTTTTTGTTTTCGTCCCCTTAAAATGTAAGAAAATTATTTCCAAAGTAATATTCAACATAGTTAGAACAATGCTCTCTCCCTTCACTAGCTCAAAGGGTAAAAGTAAAAATAAAAATGAAAAGAACTGCAGATTACCACTGAGTAGATGGCTAAAATACATTTAAATAACAAGATGTGATTTAAAAATAAAGTTGCATTTCTTGGCTTACAGCCTAATAGAGCATTCTGATATCTGATGTTCCTAATGTTTAGCAGACATTTAGCAGCTCAAGACTAGCCATATATTTTCTGCTCTCTGAAATCACAGCCACTGAAAAGACAGAAAAGACTACGTCTTCCAGAAAATTACAAGTTTGGTACAATAACTCATTAACAGCAGAGTTCAGAAATAAATGCAAATTGAGGGGAAAACAGGTTGAGGAAACAGGTGGTAGAGATAAATTAAGGTACTTACAACCTTGAGGGAAAACAGGCTCGAATATTTCAACTTTTAGTGAACTACGAAAGGTTTGAGCAAACAGAACTCAGGCATAAAAGTGACTGAAAGTGTGCTTTCGAGTGAGTTGAATGGGATGGTAACTGGCCCGTGTGATCCCCATCAGAACTGGACTTACCAGAGTAGGCCCAGTACGGGTCGCCCGAAGCCTTGCGTCTGCGGATCTGCGCCGCGCTGCTGTGTCTACTCTCGTGCAGGGCTCCAACGTAGCCTTCTGTCAGCGCTGCAAGAGAGGGAGACCCGCAATGAGACAAAGGCAGCGCCCCACTGGACATAGAAAGGGTGTGAAATAAATTGGGCGACTTCATAGAATCATAGTCCTTGGGGATGACTGACTAAAACCAACCTATTTTACAAAAATACGAAACTATAGGAAAGTCCAGACAAATTAGTAGCAGTAGTAATCATTGACGAGGAACCTTCACTTTGTGCCGAGAAGTGTGGCCCACTAAGCACTTTACAGACATTATCTTATTTGATCTGCAAAACACGACCAAGCAGTACAAACAGTGATCCCAATAGCAGGGCCCTTTTATGAATAAGCAAATGAAAGCTTCAACAACTGAAAGAACTGTAACTTGACCAAGGTCATACATACAACTAACTCGTAGACTTCGAGTCCAACTGCATGTATAAGATTATGACTTATGTGTAAAGACCCTCTGGCCCCATTTGATCTTTACAGAGCCAGGGTCATTCTATCTCTTTCACAGATGGAGGAACTAAGGATCAGAGCCACAAAGTAACTGGTCCCAGGTCACACAGTAGGTATGCAGTAGATGAGAAAACCATACTTAAGCATCCCTGCATCAATGCCAGGGCTTCCACCACCCAAACACAGCACAATCTGAAACCTAGGGGACTCTTTGTGATTAGTACCAGTCTTTCATATCCTTCCCGCCAGCCACAGTCACCTATGGTGCCCGAAGATATGAAACGAGAAAGCTTCCAAAGCCCACAATGCCCAGAAAAGAAACTATGATTAGTGATATCGATTTGAAATCTCAAAATGAGTTCGGCCCACCAAACAAAAGCAAAAATACTCCTCTCACCCATTACGGAGAGCGTCCATTCGCCTGCTACAACATTCACAGCCCTCTCCTCCCAGCTACCTCGTGGATGCGGATTTCTTTTGCTGGGAGCCCACACCTGAAAGCACTGACGTGTAAGAAGACAAGTATCACAGGTGCCCAAAATCCAAAGTGTAATGGAATTATACGAGAACAATATAGCCCAGCTGAATAAGACAATATTTAAATGCACCAAAACAAAAGCAAGCGTGCTTTTAAAGAAAAAAAAAATTAAGCCGTATATATTGAATATACGGCTTCCCAAAACTTTCAGAAAAGCACAACACATTCTGTATTCCAAACTAGCCAGTGGAATAGTATCACCAAGACGGCATTAGCCTTTTTAACAATGTGACAGTCATCAAGAAAAATGAGAAACCTGTAAAGTACTTTATGCTTCTAGTTCAATTAAAAGGACTAGCAGCTGGGTGCAGTGGCTCATGCTTGTAATCCCAGCACTTTGGGAGGCCGAGGTGGGTGGATCACCTGGGGTCAGGAGTTCAAGGCCAGCTTGGCCAACATGGTGACATTCCATCTCTACTAAAAATACGAAAATTAGCCGGGTGTGGTGGTGGGCGCCTATAATCCCAGCTACTCGAGAGGCTGAGTTAGGAGAATCGTTTGAACCCAGGAGGCAGAGGTTGCAGTGAGCCAAGATCACTCCAGTGCACTCCAGCTTGGGCAACAACAGCGAAACTCCATCTCAAAAAAAAAAAAAAAAAAAAAAAAGACTAGCATTAAAAGATGCAATGCATGATAAAAGGTATTCCACAGACATGAGCCCTTTAGAGGGAAATGAGAATCCCATAAATTCTAAACACACATCTAAAAAGTAAACCTGATATCATTTATGTCTGCTCATTGGTCCTCAGTGAAAATTCATGTCAAAATCTAAGCTTCTCTACTCATTTTTCAAATACAAGGAAGATTTAGGTGCCCTCCATCCAATCCATTTTACAAATAATTATTCCCCATTAATCCTTCCTCTTTCCATTAAAACAGTGAGTGAAACAGTGTCTTGACTATGTTAGTAATAAATGTGACTTCCATTAGGGTATGTGGTTGAGCCTCGATTTCCTTGACTACAAAATGGACTTTAAAATATCAGCCTCCTAGGACTATTATAAAAACAAAACAAATTACGGTGAGCAGAGCACCTAATTCAGCATTAGGCATATACTGCTTCTATTTTTGTTTTTTTGAGACAGGGTCTTGGTCTGTTGCCCAGGCTGGAGAGTGCAGTAGCAAGATCAGGGTTCACTGCAGACTTTACCCCCAGGCTCAAGCAATCCTCCCAGATTAGCCTCTTGAGTAGCTAGGACCATAGGCGCATGCCACCATGCTCAGCTGATTTTTTTATTTTTGTAGAGACAGGGTCTCCCTATGATGCCCAGGCTGCTCTCAAACTCCTGGCCTCATGCAATCTTCTCACCTGGGGTCCTTCCAAAGTGTTGGGATGGCAGGCATGAGCCACTGCACCCAGCCCTAAGCCCTAGTGCTTGTTAAATGCCTGACAACATAGTGGAAATTTGCTGCAGAGGATCTCTTTTGTAATAATCACATCCCCACTCCACCTAGCTGTGTGTCACGGATTGGAAAGCTAACTCCTATCACCACCATCACTGTTAGCTCTAGGGGTGGGCCTTGTTTGGTTTAAGCCAGTCAATCACTTTCAACCATTCTACTGGCCCCAGTGTTGTGGTCAGGTATGGGCACACTGGCCAATCAGAGAGATTCTTTTTTCCTGAAGGTAATAGACAAGGCGGAAGCCTCAGAGGGGTGGCTGAAGACCTACTAAGGGATCAACGGAGGACCTTACAACTAAAACCAAGCCAGGGGGCCCAAAATTGATAAATCAATTCTGTTGACAAAACTTAAACCCTGCCAGCCTGGGCAACCTGGCAAAACCCTGTCTCAACAAAAAATACAAAAATGAGCGTGTGTGGTGGCACACATCTATTAGTCCTGGCTACTTGGCTGGCTGAGGTGGGAAGATAGCGTGAGCCTGGGAGGCTCAAGTGAGCTGTGATTATGCCAGACCGCTCCAGCCTGGGCAGCAGAGCAAGACCCTGTCTCAGAAATAAATAAATAAAGTTACATAAAGTAACTAAAATTAAATATTTAAACCCTGGACAAAGCTGATTTGAAGCTAGCCCTCTCCAAGGGTCTACAGTTACAGAGGACCAGCTCTACCTGCTAAAGTACATTTTTCTCTCTCTTGTACAAGAGAGACCCTCAAACGACACCCATGGTGTGCTTTAAACCATCACTTGAACTCTTGGTCATCAATTTCTCCATCCAGAAAAGGCCAATGTTATAATGGAGTTCTGACTCTTAACCCTGGGCTACTTTAAAACCAACCAACCCTACGCTTGGACTTCACCCCAGACACACATATATATCACACTGTGGTATAAGGAATTGGAGCTGAGCAGCAGGCCTGCCTGTCTAAAGGTAATTCACTTAAGACAGAAGAAGGCCGGGCACGGTGGCTCAAGCCTGTAATCCCAGCACTTTGGGAGGCCGAGGCGGGTGGATCACAAGGTCGAGAGATCGAGACCAACCTGGTCAACATGGTGAAACCCCGTCTCTACTAAAAATACAAAAAATTAGCTGGGCATGGTGGCGCGTGCCTATAATCCCAGCTACTCAGGAGGCTGAGGCAGGAGAATTGCCTGAACCCAGGAGGCAGGCGGAGGTTGCGGTGAGCCGAGATCGCGCCATTGCACTCCAGCCTGGGTAACAAGAGCGAAACTCCGTCTCAAAAAAAAAAAAAAAAAAGACAGAAGAAAAAGGTATGTCTGCTACATACCACCACTGACAAAAGGCAAGAGGGGACAGGGCCATCCCAAGGAAAGTGGGGTAATCTTGTCTTCCTCACACTACCCAAAGTACTGAGGTACAACGTGGGTTATCCACAGCAAGGTCAGAATGGGCAGGAAAACTGGCCTCGAAAGGGCATGCTGCATGGCACATGAGGGGCTCTAAACTCCCTGGAAATAGGACACAAGCATATTCCTGAACTACTACTGTCAACCTACCACCCACAATGGAACTCAGCACATGGTATGCGTTCATAACCAGTGAAAGAATGACGGCCGGGCATGGTGGCTCACACCTGTAATCCCAGCACTTTGGGAGGTCGAGGCATGCAGATCACGAGGTCAGGAAATCAAGACCATCCTGGCCAACAAGGTGAAACCTCATCGATACAAAAAATACAAATATTAACCAGGCATGGTGGCGCGCACCTGCGGTCTGAGCTACTTGGGAGGCTGAGGCAGGAGAATTGCTTGAACCTGGAGGCAGAGGTTGCAGTGAGCTAAGACCATGCCACTGCACTCCAGCCTGGCAACAGGGCAAGACTCCACCTCAAAAAAAAAAAAAAAAAAAAAAAAAAGCAGAGAGGGAATGAACAAATGAACACATGAATGATCAAAAAGCTGACAGTTTCTGCGTTCTGGAGGGTAGTGATGGTAAGAGCATGTGTGTGTATCTATGCATGTTATGTGGGTGTTTACATAAGCCATAGGCAAAACCACCACCCAGAACCTCACTGACTCTCTCTCTAGCCATTGCCCACCTATCAGAAACCGCAAGTGCTTAATACATGAAGCAGGAAGGAAATGGCCCTGAGTGACCAATAAGCAATCATTTAGGGAAGCAACTGTTCAGAAATGCACAGGGCAACACTTTTAACCCTGGCACCAGATTTTATTTTTTTAATAAACTACTCATTAAAGGTGACTATATTTTATTCCATCTATGTCAATCATGTGTGACTTCTCCCTCCTCCCTATCTGTAAGAGCATTATCAAGTAAAGTCATGCACCACGTGATAAAATTTTGGTCAATGAAAAATTGCATCTATGACGCTGGTCCCTTAAGATTTTTTTATTTTTATTTATTTTTTTTTTTTTTGAGACAGAATCTTGCTTTGTCGCCAGGCGCCAGGCTAGAGTACAGTGGCGTGATCTTGGCTCACTGCAACCTCTGCCTCCTGGGTTCAAGCAATTCTCCTGCCTCAGCCTCCCAAGTAGCTGGGATTACGGTCACGCACCACCATGTCCAGCTAATTTTTGTATTTTAGTACAGACGGGGTTTCACCATGTTGGCTGGGATGGTCTCAATCTCTTGACCTAGTGATCCGCCC